TTATTTGTTTACTTTTTTTCTTGGCAAAACATTAAGTTATTTCTTTGCCAATGCAACAATTCTTTTTCAGCAACATCCATATTCAACTGCTTTCATCACTGTAGAAAACTTGTTAACCAAATCGGAAGACGAGCGTTTTCCTAATGGAAAATTCTCCGGTCCATCACGGTAACATTAATGGTCTGATATTAGGCATAAACCATATAATAATTCTGAAAAACAACACAATTATTGTACATATATCTTCAGCAATGTTCAATTATCAAATGTACATTGAAAATTTTTTCTTTATTCTATTTTCATGACGAGTAAAAGAAACTGTCAATAAATGTCTCAGTTACACCTGATTAAAACCAGCACTAAACACTGTAAACCTTAACATCCGAAAAGAAAATGAATTTTAGTTTTGTCTTTCTTTTTCTTTTTTTTTTTTTTTTTCAACAAAAATAAAAGTATTTTCTCGATCAACGACAATAAAAAAAATTCACATCGCACAATAAACAGTGTGATAGTTCAAATAAATATTGAATAAATGCTGAGAGAAAGAAATTTTACTAAGATTCATATGTAACAAACAAAAATTCATTTGCGATTATTTAATCGTTTCGTCGACTGATACCTTCCTCATCCAACCACCTTACCAATAAGATGCCAACCAAACTACGACGATATTAGAACACAGCAGTGAAAAAGAGTTTGACTATTTGGCGTGCGCATAATAATTTCCCAATTTCTGTCCACCATTTTAATAATTTTTTTATTGCCCTTGGTCAAAAAAATACTTTGCTTTTGCTGCAAATGAAAAAAAAAAGACAGATAAAACTGAAGTTCATTTCCTTCTCAAATTTCAAAGTTTATAGTCGTTAAGCGCTATTTTTAATCAGGTGTAACTTAGACATCTGTTGACAATTTCTTAATCCTCTCTAAAATTACCCATCAAAATAAAGGCCACAAAAGTCAGTATAAGTTAACAATGTGTTAACTCCCGCATTCCAATGGGTTAAAAATTCATCAACCTATAAGTCCAAAAACTGCCGTACACATTTCTAACAAGCTATGCACCAAGTAACTTCCCCTCACAAATAAATCAAAATTTCCAAAAAAAAAAAAAAAAAAA